GCCAAATTCCCTATTTTATGTATAGCTATAGACATATAGCTATAGATATAATATGTAGGTCTCTGTACAACCAATTAACCAATTGCGTATTATAGTGTAGTTGACACTGCTAGTTGCCTCCTTCCACTTTATTCCCAACAGAACTTCACCTTTGCTCAGGTTTCTCCCCACATCCCACTAGATCATCAGTAGATCCTAATTAGTATAGGCCAATCATGAAATTCCTGATCCTCTTGACAATGGCTGATTTAGAGTTGAGTATATAACCCAATTCTGGACACAGAGACATTAGGGGAAGTCTCCTGGGGGCACTTTCTCCTAAGACAAAGGCATACGTAGATACAGTATCTTTCTCTTTCTGTACATTGTAGGTTTAGGAGTGATTCCTTGGAATTACAGCAGCCATCAGAGGTCATGAGTGGCCCTAGCATTAAGGTGATGCTGATGAGGACAGGAGACAGAAATAAGACTGTGGACCTGGATGACATTGTTTCGCCTCTGATTGTTTGGTACTCACATCCCATATCTCTTTCTTTCTGAAAACATTCAGACCTACAAAGATGTCTAAACACTTACTATTTGCCGAAAGTGTAAGCTGTCGCACAGGAGCTTGTTAGAAATATAGAATCTCAGGTCACCCCATATCTACTGAATCATAATCTGCATTTTAATAAGCTCTCTCAGGAGATTTATAGACACATTAAAATAATTGAATCACTGAACTGATGCCCTACAATCACAGCTGTTTTAGATAATCAATTATTTAATCAATTCATTTATGTATTTCACATTTATTTTACTTAGTGTTTGCCATGAGCAGAATACAAAGGTATCCCAGCCTCCTGCAAACTAAGGTGATTAAATGAGGTGATAACCATCAGGGAAGCTGTAAGCTATACACATTAATAGCATGGGGGGAGCAGTTCATTTCCTTGCTTAAAAATCCTTAGCGGTTTCACATTGTACAGATAATGAAATTTAAAACCCGAAACACAACTTTCAAGGCTCTGCAGGACCTGTTTGTTGTCCCCCCACTTCACCTTCTCTTCACCCCACTGCACATGCTCCCCCCACAACCCCTTTACCTGG